ACATTATCAGGAAATACATTTGCAAGACACAGTATTAATAGATCACTAAAAAAAGAAACCAAAAATCTCCTAAATTCAGAAACAGACACTCTACCTGTCTGCTTTGGAAACAGGAAAGATCAAACTTCCTAGAAACTCATTAGTAAGTCTTGACAGAAGCAAAACCATGCTTCCCTTTATGAAACATGGTTTTGATTATGTTTTTTTTTACTGCTTTTCAAAACATTAGGATCAACAGTGTAAGCCAGCGCCAAAAGTTCAAGGGCAAACGTATTTCCATTAATGTGTTATCATCTTTGAGGAATTTTTTTTCATATTCATTCAAATCTACAGTGGAGAATGCTGAATTGTGTTTGTGTTTCCGTATAAAATTTTTTATAACCAATCTAATAACCATAATTTCTGACGATTAATTTTGAACGATATACTGTCTGAGTAGAGCTGATAAACATTCAAATTTAATATTTGAATCACTTAAAGTAAATTATTGGCCTTAATTTAAAAATTAGAAATAGAAAAAAATATTTTCCTAGCCAGTGGATGCATTAATAATACAGATTTCCTATGTTTTGCATACCAATAAATTGTCTAGCAATCAACATCCGTAAAAAATAAACTGAAAACTTAATTGTTTCAATATGTATGTTATTGGATATTGATTACTTTATTTCATTGTTTTATAAACAACTCAATGAATGTCTGAAGGTTTTAGTTTATACCAAGTGGAACATTCAGTTTCAATGTTTAAACAAAACCATAACAATATTATTATGATTTCATACAATATTAACAAATTAGCAATGGATCTAACTTCCATAAATAGAATGAAAGTTTTCTTGATTTATGATAATTAAATTATTAAAAATGATAATACAGTACAATTAAAGGAAAAGAATTAACTAGAGTGCCACATTAAAATTTTAATTAAATTTATTATCTTTATTGGTTATTTGCAGCATTTTTTTTAATTCATCTTCAAAAGACTTGACATACAGAGATGTCAAAGCAAAAAAAAAAAGCACATTACAGTTATAGTATGTGCAGCATGCTTTTGTAACACTAATATTTATAATCATTACATTTTCGCTATTGTAATTTATTTGTTTATATATTATTACTTATAACCATTGGGTCCCAAGTCTCCCAGAACTCGTGGGAGTCTCCCTGAAATCGGGATGACCTTCCGCACTCCCGCAAGCAAGCAAGGATCTCCCGGAAATAACACATCTCCCGCAAATTCATAATATTCGCTTATTTTCAATATTTTATTATCAACTGTCTATGAGTTATCAATTGTCTCATAGAAGTGAGTGCCGATGGATGTCACTATGTGCAGTTAAATTTAGATGTGTTGACAACAGACATTAACCACTGCAGATCAGTGGATGATTCAAAGGGAGGGGGACAGGCATTAACCACTGCAGATCAGTGGACGATTCAAAGGGAGGGAGACAGGCATTAACCACTGCAGATCAGTGGACGATTCAAAGGGAGGGGGACAGGCATTAACCACTGCAGATCAGTGGACGATTCAAAGGGAGGGGGACAGGCATTAACCACTGCAGATCAGTGGACGATTCAAAGGGAGGGGGACAGGCATTAACCACTGCAGATCAGTGGACGATTCAAAGGGAGGGGGACAGGCATTAACCACTGCAGATCAGTGGACGATTTCCAAATTATAACAAAAAATGGGGAAAAAAGAAAACTATATTCCAAAATTTATGTCTTGAGTGTGTCATTTCCAGCCATCTAGAGGTGCCTCAATCATAAATGTTCCAACTTCAGCCACAACCATGGTGGGGCTATGAGGTGGTAGGCTTCCCTACATCTGTTAAAGTTCCTCCCTGCCTTGCCTGATTCCCGGATCAGTACTGTAGATCTCCTGAAATGATTTCTTCCAAATTAGGAACCCTGTAACCATCACAGAGATGAGTCTAACAGTTTAATATTTACACCATACTGTATTGTTATTAATTACATTGCACATGATAGAAAAAAAGGTCTTATATAAACAGCGACTATCCTCACACCTTATCATACATTCCCACAAACATAAAACACTTGTCTTTAAAGAAAAACAAATTTAATTTGTAAGTACAAATCCTACAAAAAAGATAACAAAATGATAATTACTAGACTTTATGATTATGTTGTGTTTACCTTGACTTAGTCTCATTAACATACTGTCTGGAAACCCCTGCAACCGCTTAGTTGAAAAGCAAGAAGTTACTAATCCTAACATTATAAACATTCAAGACATTCACATGAAAGATTGCGTCCTCTAGCAGGATGCAATGTTTACGCTCAACAACTACTGACTTCCTCTATGACTTCACGCTTGAGGAAATTCAGTGTTTCTTACGATAGTTAATAATAACCAACATGTTATTAGGTATTATTTAGCATGTGCTAGTTTGGAAATCAATCAAGGAATATTTGAAATTGGAAATTGAAAAAGACAGAAATCAAATTAAAATTATATAATATGTGCAGCAATACTGTGTATGAGTCTAATCTATGAATAGCTTGCTATGTATACAGTATCCTTAAAAAATCAAGATGTTTTTTTAATAAGTCTGGGAAAGCAAACAACACATCCTGTTGCTGCTTTCAGAAATTCTCCTGAATTCTTATGACTTGTATTTTGTTTTGTTTCCCTTGTTTTGTTATTACCGGTAATTATGGTTTCGACTGTATTTGCTAATACTATATACATTTTAAAAATGTATTTGTTTATGTCAAATTATTGCTTTATTTTGTGTTAAATTTACACGCAATAATATTAAACAGACACAATGTTCACTGACAGAAAAATACTAACACTACAGTCATAGATTCTGGGATCTTTTCAAATTTACTGAGATCCTCTAGCTTCAGGACTAAAAAACAATTGAGCAACACTGACAACAGGTAACATCTATTTTCAAGATAATTAGGGGATTCAAACTCAGAACTCAGATTGTTTAATTAGACCAAAATTACAACAAACAAATATTATTGACATTTATATAAATTAAATTATAACAAATTGATGGTCGGGAAACTCTCATTAAGGCTAAAATAAGTCGCTACCATGAGAGCCACCGCAGAGATAAATAAATGTATTGATTACTCATAGTACAATTTCATGTCTTATTTTAGATTAATACATGTCCAATATAACAGAAAAAAAATGCATTCAAGTTATCATTATTACTTTATTTGTTCATTCCAAATTCTGACAAAACAAAAGCCCAAGTGGAGGTAAAGAAATATCAAGGTTGTAAAGTTAAAGATAGTTAAATTGAAATTCCTTTATTTTCATATTTGTAATCACTGTTTGTTTTGAAAAAATATAAACTAATCTCTAAATTACTTGTGCTACAGCTCAATAATTAAAGAATGATAGACTATACACTATTTATCAGAAAAAAAGCTCTAAAAATGCATAAAAAGTGCTAAAATCTACCAAAGGTTAACATTTTGATAAAGGTAAAAAAGAACACCAAAAAACTATATTTTGATTATATTTAAAATTTAACTCAACATCCCAGTTGTAATTAATAGTATAATATGGACATTAATTAAACCTGGGATCGATACTGTATTAAATATTATAAAGGACCTGGCTACCACTAGAGGGAGTAATTCAAGATTAAAATTATGAATGAAATCTTCACTTCATTGATCAAGTGAAATCACCAATTTCTGAAAGTCTCATTACAGTACAAAAAAGTGTAAGCATTATTGGCAGGCTTTGCTCTATTCATACCTCATGTTTTATCTACTAGGCCTAGCTTCTAGATGCATTTCCATGGGGCCCAGTAAAAGTATTACTAGCCCTAAGCTATATGCAAGCCTAATAATGCAATTTAGGGACCACTCTGGAAATAAGTCCTTTAATTGGGACTTAGAAAGTTATCCCAATATCTCCATTTAGTTTTTTGACATGTTTTATTTTTCAGTTTTGTATATGTTTGTTTAAAGTAATGAGATATTGAATAAATCAAATCAAATCAAATAATACTTTTTTTGGGCTTTTTTTTTTTTAAGGACCCTTTGATGGCCTTCTTTTCGAGTTGGGCCTCTTTTCGAGATGGCCTTTTCGAGACTACTTTTACAAACTAAAGAGGAGGGCTTCTTTTCAAAATGAACGCTGTAAATTGCTACTATACAACATTTTTCAACTAAGGAATTCAAAATTCTGTTTAATATCTTTTAATTTTAACCATGCTAGAACCATAAAATAATAATGTTAATGACACACTTTCATAATGACCAAAGATAACGTCAGTAAGAATGTATAAGTACTACCTCGAAAGCTCTTATCATCTTGATTAGAAGGCCACAGGTTTTTTGAGATTACTTTTGGAAACTGACGAGGGCGCTTCTTTTCGAGATAGGCTTCTCCTCAAGATTAGATGGGGCTTCCATGCTAGCTTATAATGCTTTGTTCATTGACCAGCAGAAGCCTGGGAGTTCTGGTTTAATGAGCTTTCTGCATCTAATTCTATTTTGCTGGCACACAGTGAGACTAAGAATCCATTAGCATTGAAACTATTAATACTGATATTATAAATTTGTGGAAGAATGGAGTTTTTTGGAAGGTTTTATGCTTGCTTGCAGAAGAGAGCAGGAGGTTTGTTCCGACTTCCTGGCGACTCCTGCAATTTGCAGGAGACTTGGGTGCCAAACGTTTAACGTAGTGGCCAAATTCACTGTGTAGAGGAGGGGTATGTTGTAACACCAGTAAAGCCAGCAGCACCACCCTCCACCCCTTCCCCCATAAACAAAAAACCTCCTACCACCACCATATTAAAGTGTACGTACTAAATAAACAGACCACACGTGACACTTACAAACATATAATAATAGCTTCCATATACCTTAAAATTCGCCTCAAGATAAGTAATCAAACTTTTAGGGCCCTCTGAACCCAAAGCACAGGGCGTCGGGTGGTATCTTTAGCTTAATTCTATCACCATCATCATCATGGCATCATCATTGCATACACTTACCACCACCCAGTTCCAGTAATCCGATCTCTGTCACTTGCTTGTCTTGTGCCGTGAATCAGCCCTACCACAAGGTCAGGAGGAGCAGTAGTAGTATAGTATTTTTGAAGACGCTTCATTCATTGAAGGATTGCTGTTCAAATTCTTGATCTGTGCCGTGTGGGTCTTTCTGTATGTAGTGACAACACCATTGGAATCCTGAAGAACTGCTTCTACAAAAATCAATTCAGTTTACAAGAAATTCAAATAAGCAATTCACTAGGCCAAAGAGTCCCAAACAAACAAAATGGGTACCGCGCGTATTTGCCTCTCCTCTCTTTCTCTCTTCAGAGCTCTCGGAACTTTGACCAACTCGAGCGTGCGCGTGTACCAACTCGAGCGTGTGGAAACATTCACTGCTCAATCGTCAATCAATCAATCAATCAATCGATCGATCAATCAATCAATCAAAAATACACTTATAATTCAGTTATAGCAATAAATAATGTGATAATGAAATATGATAAATATATAATGATTGTCGTCCCAATATAGTATTAAATAGACATTGAAAGGCCTACAAACAACAGTATTATTTATAGCGCTAGTTTAATTAATAAACTATCTGAACGTAATAAACTTACGCCAGCAAAAAATAGTCTAGAAGCTCTTGGATTGTAGTCTAAATAAACAATACTTTTACGTCGGGGTTTTTCTGTTTCCTGTTGTGATAAATCTCTGTTTTAGCTGGCCAAAGAAATGTATTTATTCTGTTCAATAATAATTTATTTTTAACATAAATGTAAAAAGTTAGAAATTTCTCATTCTCTGGATGTGGACAGGAGACATTGTCCTTTCTTGGGGTCCAAATAATAAACACTTAAATTACAAATACAAAACAAAATAAAATGAAAATAAAAGTTATATTAAGAATCATAGAGATATTATAGTAAACTATAAGAATACCTCCATGGAAGAATTAGTATACAAACAAGAAGCAATTTTAAATCAGATTTTTGAAAGATTTTAAATACTGTACACTAGTATGCTAGAATAGTACACTGCGTTATTGGATGATTCCAAAGTTGACAGAACGATATTTAAAAGTTGTTTTACCAGATTCATTCGCCATTTTGGCAAAAAACAAATGCTTTTTTTATATTTGCTTCTTGTATTTGGAGTTTATTATCAGGTTTTGCCTTTTAAAGTGCTTTAAAGGTGGTGCTGTTGATGCTATTATTAGAATTATAGGCCGGTTTTCAATGCAGGCGGTATTTTTGTGATTGTGAAATGAAGATTGATTATTTAAACCGATAGAGGGCGAAGCAAGGATATGCGTTCAGCAAAGGGGGTGTCTTCCGGGTTTTGGTTATTGACCAATCGTGGGCATCAAAACAGAGCCAGTCGGGGCATGAATAGTAATCAATTTGCCGATTGACAATCGATTACAAAGAACGAAAGAAGAAAACGGCGGGTTAATGCAAGTTTAGGCTAGGCTGTGTGTGTTGAGAATTGCTAGAGGTTATATAATCGTAAGAGTACACAAAAATGCCTGAAGAAGACAACTTACTTACGGGCTTGCGTTTCCGAATATCATCTTCCTCGAATCAAGGTGGCAGACATTACAATGAAGATGTGATATGTAAGCACTGTGAAAAAACTGAATCAACGGACCTCGCATGTTTTGCTGTATTCGATGGTCATGGCGGACGGGAGGCGGCTGTATACGCGCGAGATCATTTATGGGCAAACATAAAGAAGCAGCCTGGATTCTTGTCACTAAACGAGAAGCAAACTATTAAAGCAATCAAAGATGGATTCGCTATAACACAGAATGATATGTGGAAATATAGAGGTAAACTTAGATCACATTCACAGTCATATATATATTATTTTATACATATTTCATACATTTTTTTTAGAATGAAATGAAATTTAATGATTCACACAACTCACAAGCACACACACACACCGCCGAATGAGGAGAGTGAGATTAAATGGCAATGCCTAACATACCGTAGCTAGCTTAGGCTAGGGCCTACCTAGGCCTAGCCTCTAAATTCTGACTATGGATCCAGCTTACAATATCAGCAGAGTCATTGAAAAGCTAGTTAAAGTTCCACTGCCTTAAGTTCTGGCTGCGCAGCTGTACTGTAGGGCCTACATAACCTAGGCCTAAGCTAAGTAGTAGTAGTGGATGCTGTGACTCTTCTGAGATCATCAGACTAAATTGTACTGTAGAACTTAAAGCTTCTTGTGAATATATTTTTTAAGCACTTTTTTTACTCACAATTTTAGTAGGCCTACTGTAATTTCCAATTTAACTGCACCTGTATATATTTAGATAACACATCTCAAACATCAGCAAACATCATCAGCTCTGTAATATTAGGGCATATAGAAAAAATTATTAAGATTATCACTTTTTTTTAAAAAGTGATGAAGGCGGGCAATTTTTTTTATTGGAGCAATAGAATATTGATTTTTTTTTATATATACTGTAGATGAGGGAGGGACTGTTTTTATTTGTCAAGAATATTGCAAATATTGTATAGAAACTGGTTTAATTTTATTGTTTTTTTTTTTTTAAAGAAAATGTATTTCTAGTCACAAAATTGCATTGCTTTTATCCTGTTAAAATAAATGGTGCAGCAAAATATATTTTTTTCATTCCCGCATCAATATTTCCCAAATATTTGATGCGTCTGGAGTGATAATCTAAACAATTATTTCTATGTGCCCTTAATGATGCATAACCATCTATTATTCATTTAAAATATGACATTATTCTATCTTTTACAACTTTATAAATAGATAGTAAGTTACCAGTCAATTGACTGTGAACGGTGGTCTATAAAAATAATGAAAAAATATCAGAATTCAAATTGTTCTTGTGGTCTTTGTAAATATTATTTTATTATATTAATTATTGCTTTATAAAGTTACACTTTTTTAAAGCAGGCATGTTTAAAACCACTGAAAAATTTATTAGGGCAAATAGAAAAAATTGTTAGACTATCACTACCGCCCGCATCAAAAAATTTGAAAATATTTATGCGGGAATAAAAAGAAAAAAATTTTATTGCCGCATCATTATTTCAACAGCAATTTGTGAATGGAAGTAAATTTTCTTTAAATAACAATAAAATTAAACCAGTTTTTGTACAATATATTTGTCCAATAATGACAATCGCTTCCTAATCAATTAAAAAAGAAAGCAATATTCTATTGTTTCAACAAAAAAAAAAAAAAAGCCCACCCGCCCGCATCACTTTTTTAAAGGAAACGAGTGATAATCTAAATTTTATCTGTGCCCTTAAATTTGACATCAAGTAATATTATTAGTTAATCTACATGACATCCAAATTTATCTAATGGGTTCAACTGGTTAAAGATAAAAAAAATTATGCACTTGAATCAGCTCATAGTCATACTGTAATTTGTGCCTTCATATTCAGAGGCCCAGACAAATATTTAATTTTTGTTTCTAATGCATTGGAATATTAGTAAGACCTTTAAGGTATGTGTAATTTTAGGCCATAGATTTTGTATTAGATTATACACATCTAGATGTGTATAAGAGACAGCACTGGCCAAGCTCATTGGGCAGTCGGACCAAAAAAAATTGTAAAATAGGCCTACTGTACACCAAGCCAATACATGTCTTTCAAAGTTGTAGATTGCCATTTCTGGCAATCCAGAGGTCCCTATTTAAATAAAAAAAATCCTCCTCCCCTCCACACCTTCCCCCTCCCCCTCCTCAGGCATACAAGCTGAAGTCCCCCTGTCGGACAGCTTAGCCCCAAGAAAATGTATCCTAGAGCCGTCACTGCATATCATCCGTAATGTTTTGTTCCAAAAGTTTTTGACTTCTTGATTTGAATTACTGCAATTGAGCTCTGTACAAAATTTAATGTGACAAATAAGTGTGATATACCCATATATGGGCACATCACACAAATTTTACATTTTGAACAAAGCATTAGTGATAAAATTAAAAATTTGACTGACCGACCAACCAACTAACCATCCCAATTTTTTCACCTACAGACTTAATAAGCTCAAATACACAATAATACAGTAATAATACACAAATTTTTTTTGGAGGGTGGGGGGTCTTAGGCAAGACTTTTTTACACCTTGTTTTGCAAACTTACTTTTTAAAGATAGTTGGAGCGGGGAAAAAAATGAAAATAAAATTTGGTTTTCTCAATTAGCAAAATTATTTTTAGAGATAAAATGTATAAATAAGTATAAAATTTTATTTTTTATGAAATTTCTATTTTTTCATGGTGGAGTGTATTTTTATTCAAAATCACAATTTTTGGCGGTGGGAGGGTTCACTAAACAAGGTATTAAAAAGCCTTATTTACAATACGGTCATTCATTCCTGACTTCATTTCAGACCTGCCTTTTCAAATGACTTAAATCAGATGCAAGTCACAGCCTGTCAGTATTTGTGATGTCATAAAATTATGATGTCATAATATTTTTGTATTATGTTTTGGTAGTCTATATCATTGTTTGATTATTGACCAATGAATCTTTTTGTAAAGATCTGTCAGTGCAGATGGAAGTACAGACTGTATGTCAGATGCAGGTCACAACTTGTCAGTATTTGTGATGTCATAAAGATATGATGTCATAAAATTGTGATGTCATAACATTTGTATTATGTTCTGGCAGGCTATTGTCTAGTCTACACCATTGTTTGATTATTGACCAATGAATCTTTGTAAATCTGTCAGTGCGGATGGAAGTCTGTACTGTACATCAGGGGCAAGTCATAGCCTGTCAGTTGCTGTGATGTCATCTAGCTGTGATGTCAAATTTGTGGTGTTGTAACATGCTTACTTCTTTGGAAATTTCTAGTTCATTCACATTCCATAAATACTTTTTTTAATCATCCACTTATATGTAATGTTGTCTTGGTGGAGACTGTAATTATAACAAATACTGTAGATTCAATTTAACTAATGCAAGGATATCAAGTATTTAAGCAAAGACCTGACATTTACTGAGACTTAGGGCCTGTTTCTACTGGAAAGAAATAATTGATTAAATGTCGCTTTTTTCGAAAAATCGCTTTTATTCTCGCAGTAGAAACGGGACCAGTTTGAAAAAAGCGATTAAAAAAAATTCATTAAAAACATGCAATGGATATCCCGTTTGAACGGCAAATAACCGATTATGGCTGTGCACCTTTTAGCTGCAACACAAGAAAAGCGATTGTCAGGTGAAATGTGACCTCCAGGTCAATCACTGCAAAGACTAGATCGTATTAGGCGCAAACTTAAAAAAAATATTGTCCTCTTGTTCATGTCCTACAAGCTAAAAATGTCAACAAACATGTGGAGCGACGAATTCGTTTTGTAATTATTTTGTGGGTGGGGGGAGGGTATTGGGCCTAGGCCTCTCCGCTCTTTTGGGCCTACCGTAGTCTGTTTCACGAACTTATTTTTTAAAGATCGTCAGAAAAGGCGAGAAAAAATAAAAATAAAATTTTGGTTTTTCATTTAGCAAAGAGCTTTTCCAAAAATATCCAGACAGAGAAGAAAATAAAAATACAATTTTATTGGTGAACGTAAACAGTTTATAATATATATAGCATGGTAAAATGCTATAAATTTATATAATTAGAAGCAATATACATATTTTTTTTTTTAGATTTCAAGGCAGCGGCTGGCATAATAAAAATAAAGAAAAACTTTTATCTTTTTCTGAATTTCCATTTTTTCGTGGTGGCGGCTACGCTAATTGACCAAAAATACGATTTTATTTTTTATTTGAAATCATCATTATTAGTGAGTGGCAGATTTGCTAAACAAGGTATTAAAAAAGTCATGCCTTACCGTGCATTTTTGAATTGGACGTGTAGCTCAAATTAACCGTGTACCTGGTCAGTTTGAATAAAGAAAAGTCCAGTGCAAACAATCTACTAAACATCCTCCTTGGTAAAATTATGCATTGTGCCCCCCTCCGATATTGATGAAATTATATTTAATTTTTATTATGCCAAACCCATTTTGCTGCGAAAACAAATTTTTATTCTTAATTTGTTTTCTCAGATTTTTGTCCAAAATTAAGTTCAATAAACTTGGTGTTTAAAAAAAAAAAAGCTTGCCTTATGATGATTATTTTAGCTTTAAATACATTTTATTCCTCATTTCAGCAAGCTGGAAGAAAACATTGTCGGGGTATCCAAGCACAGCCGGTACAACGTGTAGTATGGCCATCATAATCGGAATCAAAATGTACATTGCTCATGTTGGAGACTCCGGAATTGTAATGGGATATGATGATGAAGGCATGATTAACAGCGAGGTCCTAACCATTGAACACAAACCGGATTCTAAACCGGAGCGGAAAAGGATAGAGGGAGATGGTGGACTGGTTATGACCAAGAATGGGGTTAACCGGGTAGTTTGGAAGCGTCCTAAAATTTCTCATATGGGACCTGTGAGACGAAGTACCTCCATTGATTGTATACCTTTCCTAGCCGTGGCAAGATCCTTAGGTAACTTCTTGGTTAATTGGTCATTTTCATGTCATGTCTTTGGTAAATTAAAACAATCAGACTTCCATTTCTCCCCGTAAGTTGTGTGAGTATGCCTTATTTGGGTCGCTTTGTCTCTTGAAAAAATGTGTTGTTTTCCAAATTTTGAAAAGAACTTTCCAAAGAAGTTTTCCAAAGTTTATTGCCCTATATGTTCAATGTTGTAAATATTTAAGAAATGGTAAATGGCCAGTGACATGAGTATCATACATGTGTAATTAAAATTCCTTAAGTTGAATTTGTTTGGTGCATCATGCAGAAAAGCCTCTGTGTGTTTAGCAATTGAACTCTTTGAGTTTGACATTTTGAAAAAAGTTGATGTTCCATAAAACTGAACCCACTCCTTAAACTAAAGCATTATTGCTTTTTTTAATTCTAATTCACAGGTGATCTGTGGAGCTACAATTATGAATCTAAAAAGTACATAATCTCACCAAAACCTGATATTGAAGTGATGACCCTTGATCCATACGAACACAAGTTTCTTGTGCTTGGAACCGATGGATTGTGGAACATGATCAGCGGAACTAGGGCTGTTGATATAGTTGCTGATTATGAAAGAGAGCGTATCAGTAAGGTAAGTGGTAGTAAAAGCTTGTGATACCCAACTCACATTAGGCAAAATGTTGCTAAGGATGCATGCAAGTTGATTCAAGATGTTTAAGGTTTTTGAGTGGTTGGTCATTTATAATATTTAAATTTATTGAATTGTTTTAGGGCAAAGGTTATGCCAAACAGTGAAACTTAATCACTTTTTCAGCGGGATATCTCTTCACAAGACAAACATAAATGCTCTATATAAGCTAAGTCTCATTATGAGGTTAGGGAGTACAGTTGTTTTTATCTTGAGAAAAAAATTACATTTGAGCTGTGCATGCTTGTTCAGATATACTGTACAGTAAATCTCACTTTTTTGCTTCCTTGGCAAGGCTTAGGCTTACCTAGCCCTGTACTTGTAGCATAGGCCTAGGCCTACACTTACTACACTGAGATGCTATGAAACTTTCAACTTTCTCAATTACAAATTTTCTCATTTACGGACACTGTTCGGACAGAGAGGTACGTAATTGGGAGATGTTACTGTAATGATAATATACAGGTATTCATGAATATTTTCTCTGAAATATTTAATGTTCCTTGTCAAGCAAGCATCTTAACACCCATGATGGAGCTGCACTCCAAATATGAAAAATGTTAAGTTGTATGTTATTATGTAATTATAATATTGGTGTTTTTGTTTACAGAATGGAGTTCACCAGCAAACAGCTGCTCAGGTGATAGTAAGAGCTGCCATTAAGCAATGGAATGATCGCTTCCTGAGAGCAGACAACACTACAGCCGTCGTGGTGTTCATTGATCCAATGGATGCATTTGCTGATTTGAAAACCACAGCCGGCAAGCTTCACAGACCTAATGCCTTTAGCTTTTGGAACCCTCCATACTCAGAGGATGAGCTCTACGGCTATGTGTACCACAGACCAAGTGTCTTAAAGAAGAAGAGTCTGCCGAAAGTCAATGACCATCCTTCCCTTAAGAGAAGTCATGCGTTTAGCTCAGACCTCCCATCAGAGTTGAGCCCTAAGAAACCAAAATTATCATCACAAGGCCAGAGAATATGCCCGACGTGTTATGGGTATAAATTATTGGAGGAGGATGAAATCGAAGTTAAGGTGAAGCAATCCAAGAAACACAGTAAAAAGAACTTAAGGAGAAAAGCAGGTATTAACAGTCTAGCACCTAAGAAAATGACTCCGATGTGTGTTACAAAAGTGATCATACCAACAAAATACAAAAGTCCAGAGGGGTATAGCTCGCCTAATCGCCGCTGTTATGGTGAAGCTTCTTATGTAAAAACGAGCATGGAGGATAAATTTTCACATAGAGATGACCGTACCCATAACACAATTATTATTCCAACAAAGTACAAAACACCTTGCTCAAATGGTAAGTTAGTGAGAAGAAGATGTTTTAGTGCAGAGCCAGTTATAACTACAGGAAAATCGAGTGTAACTAACTCTGGAAGTAAGTCTGACCCACATAATAACTTGAAATCTCCTACGCCTAACAGCAACGACGACAATTACACCAGCACTCCTAGACTGCGTGTGCCGCTTGCTGTGAAGCGTCTAAAGACTGAACAAAACAACCAATTGCCTGAAACACCAAAGAAAATCAGTAAAGTACTGCCCTCGTCATACACCCTTCGCAGACGGTCGGATTCAGATCTGATACGCAAGATTGTGACCAGAGCACGGAGCAAAGTCATTCCACAAATCACGCAGACAAGGAGCAAGTCACAACTTACAAAATCAATCAAGGCAAATGTTGGAAAAGTAAAGGTTCCTGCATGCTAGTTACTAATTTGCATGGAATATTTTAATTAGAAGTTTGCATACAAGTGTAAATTTATTTTAAATTGCAAAGAGGCTTTGCAGATGGTGATTCCTAAATCTTCTCATTCCACACTGTTGAAAAAATTAAGTGTAAAATATGCCAGTAAAATGTTTTGTAATTTATTACAAATAATATTAGTGAATTCATTTTAAATGTTCTAATATGAAAATAATACTATGAAATTTATACAATGAAATTTGATGTGATGAAATCCAGTGGATTAAATTCCAGTGAATTGTGAATGATTCAAGTGTCACAGACAGCCTTTTGTTTTAGAAATGCTAGTCTGTTATATGAACATTTCCCATTTTAATCATTTTATTTTTCAGTGTTTTGTTTTTGTTTAATTTCTTGTGTATTATTTTTAATATTTTAAATATTATACATTATATTTTCTAAGGTGTATAATCATTTCAATTTTAGTGCTTCCATTCTTAAGTTGTAACTTGTATGATTTTGTTTAGATATGATGTGAACCACCAACCCAATGTGCACTGTTAGTATAGTATTGGTATAGTAATTATTGAATATTATATAGCATTTCTTTTCAGTTTAACTGTTAAATTACTTTTCTGCCTTAGTATTTTGGTTTTTTTTTGCATGTTTTGTTGTATAAAGTTAATAATATTAATTTTTGGTTTCATGTTTCTGAATTTACCAGATTCCATCCAGTATCAGGGAAATAATATTTCTAGAAACAGTACTGGTGATAACACAGATAATAAAACAAAATGTGTCAGGATTGTCAATTATAAATTCAATGCTGCAATGATAAATAACATCGCTCATTTCTTTAACTGTTGGAAGATGAATATCTTTAACACCATTTACTGTTTAACAAAATTATCTTTGTGAATTGTATCAAATTATTAGCTTCAACGATTATCCTAATTACTCTTTCCTGATTTCACAAACCTTACTTTATTTTTTAGACATTTAATCAGTCTCACAATTTCTGACTGTCTCAATCACTCAGGGAACAATTAAATATTCTCCAAAAGCAAAAAGTGCATTCAAATGTGCTGTCCACACTATCAAATTTAATGTGAAAAATACCTGTGATATGCCCATATATGGATGTGATATGACATCATCATGCCCATATATGGATGTGATATGACATCATGTCCATATATGGGCAATTCACCAACATTTGTCACAAAACTTGATAGAGTGGGTAGAACTAAGAAATGTATTCATCTAGGTAGCTTATTTAAAACTGAATTGTCAGTACCGAATTCAAAGTGGCAGTTCATTGTGATAGATGATTGGGGTTATATTGTTAAAAATTATATAAGTTATAAATAAAGTAAAAGAAGTTTACAAAGCCAATGGCAATGGAGATTAAATTTTCGTCGCACTACAAGTGTAAAAAAGTAGTTACTAGAATACAGAATACTCAAGTGCACATAGTAATTACCCAGTTATGTAGAGAGCCTGGATACCATTGTAAGGACACATTAATTACTGTTGCAAGGCAACAGGGAAAGGGTGGTTGTTTGAGGGTTTCTGATATTTAGCAATTACTGGATGGTTCACCGATGTAATTGAATATGCTTAGAATAAGAATTGATAAACCTTACACTTCTTAGTATTTCTGCATAGGTCCTTGGGAATTTTTCAGTGGAGGGACACCATTGATGGGTCCCTTTTCAGCTACCTAAATTACAAGTTATTTTGTATGATATCAGCTCTTGATGTCATATCTTGTAAATTTAAAAGAGCAGAATGTGTTTTGTCAACTTTTTTGTTCTTAACGAATGGGAGAGAGAAATCCTCCCATCAGATAAGTTTATTTTGTATTTTGATAGACAGTGCTGTTAAGATAAGGATAGATTTAATCTGTCCAAAGCAGAGGAAGTCCAGTGACACTGTCACGTTTTAAGTGATAAATACATGTGAATTTTCCATATATGGCTGTGATTATATGATGTCATCATGTCCATATATGGGTGTGATTACATGATGTCATCATGTCCATATATGGGTAAATCATTGTCACATTAAACTAGATAGTGCGGACAGAGTTAAGGGGTGGGCACTTAAATTTTTAATGGCTTTTTAATCGTGTATTTTTTCCTTATGGTTTAAGTTCTGTTAGCTGGATATGGCGGCTGCTGTTTTAAAATATCAATTACTCTTCTACCGAGGGATCACTTGTGATATGAAAAAACAATTTTTGGAATTCTTAAATTTCATCATATACTGAATATTGTAAATATTTTTGCTTTTATTCAGTGGATGTTGAATTATTTTTGATAATTATTACATTTTATGTAAAGAAAATGAATTAGGGCTTACAAGGCGTTTTTAAGAATTTATATATAATTTAAATTGATATAAAGTCTGTATTGGCTTGCACATTTAAATTTTTAAAATAAAGAATAAATAAGATTCAATTTAAATACATGTATAAATTCTCTATTTCAATTAATTTTATACATTGAATTTCCCAATGCGATTTCTGTGCTATTATATAGAGATCTCTTGCCATCTGTCAATATTTTGGAGAGTGCATCTTAATGAATATTTACAATAAATTAGGCTACATGGTAGCCAATCTTAGCTCACTTTTGAACTAAAAATTGCTAAATGAGAAAGGGAGGTTCTTAATTTGTTTAACTGTTTAATAATTCAGTTACGTATAGAACTGTGTGTATATGTACTGTAAGCAGTTTTATTTTATGGTTAGTTACTTGCTATTCCCACCAACTATTATATGGTATTATTGTTTTCTGTATTACTAATAGATTTTAATGATTTTTGTGTTGTCAGAGCTTGTTTTCTTTTAAGTTCAGGTTTAGTTATACAATGAATTTAAATCTGATTTATTTTGTTTTCCCATGTTTCTGTTCGTTGCTAACATATTAAACAATTATTTATCCTATTATATAATTTAAAAGCAGGTTGCATTACGCAATGAAAATGGTACAAATTGTAATCAATATTTGGAAATGGTTACTCAATTGTATCGTATGAGAACATATTGTTTAAGAATTGTGATTTGATGGTTAATGTAAATGCCCATTTGTACAATAATTGATTGACAGCAGTGTGACTAAACGACTAGTTAGTAAATTAAGTGTGGTTTTTGCACACAAATTGAAGCTACTAATGCTTTGGTGAATTTTCAGGCATAACATCCTGAACTCCATGTTTTTGATTGGTGTACACGTTCTTGATGACTTGTACTGCAAGGTTGCCTCTGTCTGCATTATAATGTGCCATTATGCCTTTGTTTTGCGAGCTACAGTACTGTACAGGACTCCATGATTTGCTACAAACATAACCTGTGTTTATGTTTAGCATTTCAAGTTGCAATACATGGCTACAGTATATATAATGTATATCTCATATATTTATAATTTTCTACCATAATTTTGTTTTTGAAATGCTTTTCTTGTTACCTGTACAATAATAATTTTAGGATAGTAGGCAATGGTTTGCACATTTTTTAAAACATTTAATTTATTTAAAATTTAAAAGCATGAAGATGTTAATATGGTAGTCATTATTAGCAATTATTAACGAACTACTGTAGATAAGTTACAAGTGCTTTGACTATTTTAGACTTGTTAATAAGCTGGTACTGTATTATTTTGAGTTAAATGTAACTACTGTACAAATGGGACCATTAATTGTATAATTATGTTGAAGTATGTGTGTGCTTTTGGCAAAGTAACTTCCCCTCCCCCATTTATAAGTGATTGAACAGTCTAATATTTTCTATGAACATTAGACCTTGATTTACAATTCTGTGATTTATAGTTTTATAAAAAGTAAATTTGGGGATTGTAGGTCCCTAATTATAAATGTTAAAGATTGTTTCTAATGGAAGTGTAGCTTGGTCATAATTTGATTAAAAATACAGTATGAGGAAAAAATAATTGTTGGTTTTTTTCTTGTGTATAGTGATGTAATGTATACAAAATTTGACTGAAGATATTGTGTTGACACCTGTGCAATAGTTAAAAATCCACTGTACATCATGTTTTCTGGAACATATTGCTTGTTCACCTTCTACAACATTAGAAGTAAATCAACGGTAAGTAAAGATGTTTGGAGTGCACTGCTGTTACCACCATGCAATAATCAATTGCTCTTTAGGCAAGGCTTTGATTATACCTTTTTTAGCGAACTTAATTTTTTAAAGATCAGAGGAGGGCGGAAAAAATTAATATTTATTTATATGGTTTGACAAAAACATCCAGACGGAGGAAAAATAAAATGTTATTGTTGAATGTAAATAGTGTAAATGGGATTGTTAAATGCTTTACATTTATATAATTAGGAAAAAATAGTGGGTGTAATAAAAATAAACTTATTTTTATCTGAAATTTCCATTTTTTGTGGTGGTGGGTATGCTTATTGGCCAAAAAAAAAAAATTTTTTTATTTGAAATCATTGGTGGGTGATGGTTTGCCAAACAAGGTACAGTATAAAAAAGTCATACCAATGTAAAAATTTTATGAAGTATGGTGTATTACAGTAAGTGTAGCCCATACTTATACTGTAGTAGGTTTGTTGTATCCAGCTTTTGAGAAGCTAATGACCATACATTGTAGTTGATATTGTTTTTGATATTGAAGGGAGTTAGCCGTTAACACTGTTGAATAAATGTAATATAAATCATCAAAGGTACATATACAGTGTTTAAATAAGGACATAATGGAACATCGTAGGCTACCCTGTAGCTTTTCAACGAAAGGACATGATGGAACATCGTAGGCTACCCTGTAGCTTTTCAACGAATATTCGTTGAAAAGCTACAGGGTAGCCTACGATGTTCCATCATGTCCTTATTTAAACACTATGTGTACCTTTGATGATTTATATTGTTTTTGATATAAACATGTTTGTTCAAACCCCCTTTTTAAATTAATTCCCTCATGGATGTTTATCTTCACAATGATGTCAGCATCATATCTACTACTTCAGAGATATACAAAAAAGAACTTAGCTGGTAATTGATACAGTTGTGAGGATTTTCAAATTAGTGAAGGAGAACAACATTGTTTCAAAGAAAATTGGGATTTTCCATTTTTTACCACAACACATATAATATCTATTTCTTGTTACATACCTACAATACTGTAATAATAATAATTTTTATAATTTTTTTAAATGTTTTTAATTTGAATTTTATACCGAGTGATATTAAATTTAAGGTGTTTATTTTGGCAATTTTCACCTGTAGGTTGGAACAAAGCATTCCTGTTGGCTGTTTTTTAAAATAAATAAAAATATCTGTAAAGTAGCGAAGGAGAACCACACAGTTTAAAGGAAAATGGGGTTTTCCAATTTTTACTAGAGTAATTCATAGAAAATTTACCACAAAAATATCCAAGGTTTGCATTTTAATACAAAATTTCCTTACAAAAAAAAATCATTTACATTTTGATACAATATAGACAATAGCAATAATTTGGTTTCTAATATAGAAAGAATATTCATTATTCAGCACTCATATATGCTCATGTTGTATCCAATAGTCTTGTCTTGTGGCCACAATTGGTTTGATAAAGGAATGGATGTGCTCTGTAGTCTTTTTTCATTATAAGATGTCATGTTCAGCCTACACTTAATGGAGAATAATGCTCCCTTGCCACTAATTTTAAGCTTAAAACCTCTCTCGTTCGTTTGCAATATATTTGGTTTCCTCTCATTATGTCTGTATTCAGGCTTGCTCCACGATTAAATCTCTTGCAATCTGGAAGGCTGCCACCAACGAGCTTAACTGGATTTTTTCATTTGTTCCAGATGCTAAGCGGTATCTGTTAGGATTATAGAAATACACAGAATTGGGGAAAAAATTGGCACATACAATATTTACTAATATAATTTGAAAGGCAGTGAGTTAAAAATGAATTTGAAAATGTCAATTTTAATCATTTAATGTAAAAGCTAGTCTACTGTAAAACTATTGTATTGTACAAATTAAGACAGTTCAGTTTACTGCCATGATGGTTTTGACAACTGTAAGTATACCAATTTAATGAATGAATGTAATGATCATACACATCAAGAAAATATAATTACAGTAGAACCTCGTTTTTACGTACCCCAGTTATACGAACCCTTGGTTTTACGTACGCCTCGTATTGACGATGACGCCATCAAAAACCCCGAAAATATTCAAAGCAAACGGCCCTTTTCAGTGCAACCATAAGTAAAAAGACTGTAACATAAACTATAACAATAAACAAACCATAATGCAACATTTTTTCATTAAACAGCAATGTTGATTGAGTCTAATACCGGTTGTTATAATCTAAAACCATGTGAAACTGAGTGAGATGAACAACTACCGATGGTGCTCAAAATAATTGCTTTCCTCCTTAGTTTCGTGTGGCAAACCATGGAAAAACTCCTAGAGGCTAGGTCTAGCCTACAGTACGTAACATCGTTCGTTCATGCATACGTTTATTGGGCGTTATGTACGTATTAGGTCAAAGGTTAACCACAAATTTAACCCAACCTCTATTTTACGAATCCCCGATTTACGTACGCCCTCCGGTCCCGTACCGTACGTAAAATCGAGGTTCTACTGTACAACTACTGTACATGTAACATAAAAAACTTGGTAGTTCATTTGTGCTCACTGAAAAAAAAATCAAACTTACTCAATATCAGCCATTTTTTCGAGCAGATGGATTCGAATATTTGCTGGTAATTCAACTGAAAATAAGACAGAGTAATCAAGCTTTCTTTTAATTGCACTGTTGGTTAGTTTGCTGAAAATCTAACAATGTACAAAATGTGCATGCGTGAGCTCTTGGCAGTGAAGAAGTACTCCCATATCTACAAGCATTTGAATAGTTCCATCAGATGTAGGCAATGTTGTAATAAGGACTGTTTCCAAATACTTGACTCCACTGCCTCCAAATACTAACTAAAAATCAAGGAGGTATTACACATACAATCTGAACAGCCCTCTCTCAACAAACAACTATAGAGTACCATGTTAATTTAACTTTTTGATTCATTTCTTTTTCTTATTCGTTATTGTCTTTATAATATTGATTCATGAACTGTTTTGTCAACTCTATTTTTCAATATGGTTCAACTCACATCTAGTACTATGTGTCACTATCATAAATAAGATTGCCTGCATGCAGTCTTCCCACTAATGATGGCAGTTGACCCCTGCCGAAACATGTTAGTTTCACTGGGTCTAGCAATGGCAAATTAAAACTAAAGCATACGCCAGACATGTGCATCATTTATGGTGTCATGATTGTTTTAAAGTTTATAAGTTATTTGCCACTTTGTCAATCTTTTATAAGCAGTGTACAATAATTATCAAGAAGAAGCGTTTCTTTATCCAATTTCTATAAACCTTTGTCATAAATAATTTTTTGATTATTTATACATAATAAAAGAAAATGATATGAATGTAAAATAGTTATGTTGTTACCTTTATGTACATATGTATGAACTTCTGTTAGGATGTCCTGTAATGCCAACCCCTTAAGGGTTTTTAAATTCAAAATATCTTACATTATCTGTTAAGGAGTAATATTTGTATAATATGAAATTAAATGTCTCAACTGAAAGATGGTGTGCTATCGAGAAACTTGTATTTCAGCCCTCCAGCTAAACACATTAAATCTGGGATCTAGAGGTCTCCACGGTTCAGCGCACACACAGTGGATACCACCAGCTTAGCCGACTGAGCTAAGCTGCTCTCTGCGATTGAAGTGTTATGAGTGCAATGGGAAAAATGTTTTTTTTCTTTTTCAAACCATCATAGAAAATGATTGTTATAATTCTGATGAGCCCGATTCTGTCCTATGCTTTTTGAAAACAGAAACATTCTGAATGGCACCCTAAAATTGGCTGTGAAGCAGTGCCCAACATTACAGTTACAATTTATTATATATGAGATTTTCACCTAAACATGTTCAAATGCCACTAATTTTCATACTGTTTTAAGGATACTATTATAAGCTGACGTGAAGTCGGAATTGAGCATCCAGTTGAGCATCTGCTCAATATCGGTGGTGAGAGGGTGTCCTGTACACATGTACACATTCTCCTCGTTCACAACGTCGTAAGCCATTGATGTACTCTGAAATCAAAATCATACGATGTTTTTTATTTCTGCATTAGGTACGGTTTATTTCTGATCATATATTTGAGTACTCTTTTATTAGGCTAAGTAATAACAAATTTCATGAAAACAAAAGAGGCCCATTTTTGTTGGGTGTTTTTCTGGCTGTTAGCTTTTTCAGATTAAGTTGTTTATCCTGGTACCAACGAACACACACTGCACCTTAGATTAATCACCGCTCTTTGTGACGATGGTACACTGAGCGGATGCCCCTTGTCCCATTGCGTTAGCATGAAATCTTTGGGCAGGCAAATTTCGGTGCAGTGTGTGCCCGGGTTAAAGCAGAACAGTGGTGGCACCAGTGGGAATTCCCCTGACAGACAGGCTTGGACCCCCACCCCATCACTGTCTTCACAATTACCTGTAGCATGTTAAGAGACTTTCTCATGTCACCTGTAGCAAGAGTAATCAAAGCTTTCATTCCATCTTCGGTTACTTCCACTCTAAAAAAACCAATTCAGTAAACAAAAAAATATACATCAAGAAGATTGTAAATTACACAAACCAGTACTTTGTTGGTAATCTATAAGTGACCTGAATAATCTAATTAATTGCATATTCTCATGAAATTGAGAACAAAGGAACACAGATAGCACCTTAACGTGTCATAACGGAAAATGTCTGATAACGGAAAATACTCTAACAATTACATGATTGGAATGAGTATTTCTTCTACTAAATTTAAGGAATTTTGTAGTAAAATTAATGTAAATCATTGAAAACAAAATTTCATTTTTGATCTGCGACTAAGTGTAGGTCCATTAATATTTTTTCTGGAGATTTTTGAGTGGCAGTATGTCCTTTACAAGGGAAGCCCAAGTTAGAGAACCCCCATTAAAGCAATATAAATAGGTCATTCCTAACTTACCCTTCCTGTTTGATTACATATTCTAACCTAGGTATCATTTGAACTTGATCAAGAGGTCCGAATCGAAATCGAGTACATCTGGACTGAAGGGCGGGGATTATCTTGGATAGGTAGTTACAGATCATGCAGAAACGAACATTTTCTGTGTACTTTTCAATGACTAAAAAACAAAAGAAATTTAATTTCAAATTTTGTAATATCATAAATGTGTTATAGTTCTCTTTAAGCACACTAAATGTTTCATAAGAGAAAAAAAAAAACCAGTTAAATCATTTATTACAGAAACCAAGCCTTATACGGAACATGGCAGAAAGAAGATAGGTAATAGCTAAGTAGAAATATATAACATATATGCCTACACTTTGCACTGTACAGTAGTATATTGTTCTATTTCAGTTTGAGATAGAATGTAGTATTGCGCCCTCTATAAATGAGAACAATGTACAGTACAGTATTCTAAAATTAAACTGCATTTGTCAGGACAAAAACACACCTCTTCTGAGTGCATTCTGAGCATCTGATGTCATGGCATCTGCCTCGTCCAGGATCACGAGCTTAAAGCCAGACCTGAAGATGGTCCTTGTACTTGAAAAACTGAGTATTGGGCCTCTAACAATGCCAATACCCCTATCATCAGATGCATTCAACTATTAAAAGACAAAAGAAAATGGATCAGGAACTTAAATAGTTATTATGAAGACTGCCATCTATATTTGTGAAACAAAGAAAATAATAATAAAGGTCTCCCTCTAATTAAGGACCACTCTTCTGTGGTCCCAACCTAACAAAAATTTTTTATCTTTATTATTCTAATTAGAGACCAAAACTGCTAAACTTGGAAAACCCAGTCCCAAAAATAGTCTTTAATTGGAGGGAGGCCTGTATAATGTTAATTATGACATATTTTTCTAATTATTTTATTATTTATATCATTGATCATATATGCATATATGTAACAGAAACTTACATAACAATAAGATGATAAGATAATTAATGTCGAAATATTGAATCCCGACACGATGGCGTGCATTTCGATACTTGGAGTATGTATTATACTATCTAATAAGACTTCTGTATTAAGAAAATTAAGAAACAACTAGAAACCCAAAATCAGTATTCCTTGAAGAATATGCAATGTATGACCAGCGTTGGTCTCCAACAGACGACTTCTGAATTGAAAGTTCAAAGCCTTACCGCTAAACCATCTATTTGTGAACTAATACCAGTATTGAATTTAGTGACTCAAACTATGTTACCTCTAAAACCATTGAACTGAACTCCTTTGGTGCGTAGAGCTGCTTAGCACATGCCAGAATGGTTGACGTCTTTCCAGTACCAGGAGGCCCATAGAATAGAAGATGAGGCAAGCGATCTTCCTCCATAAAACGATTAACTATTTTATAAAGTAAATATGGTATTTAAATAACGACTACAGACTTGCAGTTGTTTTGTTCATCAAATGTTTTATCAAGCTTAGAACCTGGCAACATGTACAGCACTCCAAAGATCAAGTCAAGACCATTAGGCAAGACTTTTTCCAAAACTTGTTTAGCAGAGAAAAGATAAGTTTTCCTTTTTGAACATTATTGGTGGGCAGTGGTTTCAAGCAACAAGGTATTTATTAAAAAGTCTCGCCCTATGGTCTTTTATGGGATGGCAAACTTACTTGTATTGATAATATCTGTATGTGCTATAAGCTCATCCAACTTATTTGGCCTGTATTTTTCTACCCTAAAATGGGGAGAAATCAAAACATAAATTATTATATAATAATAATATAAGAGGCATGTCGTGGCAAAATGTTGCACAAGCCAGTATAAATTAAATGAGCTATAAAATATGGGAGCTCAAAAAATGGCCTAAAATTGAATTTTGTATTTACTATATAGATGAACAGTTTAATGTCTAATTAATCATGTCACAAAATCTTTATAATTCTGGAAGTGGTCATCAAATTGTTTATTTAATGTTATTTTGGTAGTTAATTTTATTAAACAAAGTATGCACAAATAAATTTGGAAGTCAATTACTCAACAAAAATCATATTTATCTTGACTCTAAGAAGTGCTGTATTTCCCAATAACTAGGCCTACTAGCCCAACAAGGCTTGAAATGTCCAATTTCAATGAATGACCTCTCATTTTAAAGATTACATACACATGTATCTGAAAATACAACCCTGAATTTCAATTTTTGCTACAATTACTTAGCCATTTTGCCACAACGGTCAACATGCCTCAAATCACAAAAAAATATATAAAAAATATAATTCTTAAATCTAAAAAAATATGGCCAGGCCTAGCAGTGAGTGAGTTTATTCATAAACTAGCCAAGCAGTTCATAAGCCTACTTAGCCTTTACTCTGTGTGAATCTGGCCGGCCTAGCACAGTGGACAGCATATCATGCAGCAGTAGGACTAGCCTAGCCTAGGCAGGCCTAAGTAAGGCCTCCTCGGGCCTGAGCTGCATGTGTTGAACCTAGTCCTAGACCTGCATGTGTTACTCTCATCACGTCTAGCTAGGGCATAGGCCTAGAAGTAGTAGTAGTACTAGCTCTGCTTTCAGCTAGCCTAGGCCAAGCTAGCGTGTTCTTTGAATAATACTTACCATGGCAAATTACTAGAACTCGACATAATTGTGATAATTAAAGCACAGGCACAGCATAGCCTAGGTAAACAACTCGAATATTTGGCGCGCAGCTTTACAACAATAAATGGGTCACCTCCAGGAAAGGGCAGATAAATTTAAAGATGACGTCAAACATTTTGCTTAGTCACGTGATTAATCAATGCGTAAGTAGATTTCCAAAATGTCTGCCTGCACTTATGAGAATGGGAAGGAGTTGTTGGATACTAAACATTGGCAGTGATCTACTTTTATTTTCTTCACCCTGGAAAAATAATTGAAGATCTGGAAATTATTCATACCCAGCTTGGTATATGCTGGTGATAATGTCCGAAAACGGGCTTCCGTCGGGGGAAAAAGCCCTCGCGAATTTGAAGGATATACAATTTTTAATCGACCAACGGATTTCTCAGCTGCGGAAGCTCCGGGACCTCCTGGTCCGGACTCATCCCTCGATTTCAAATGACCGGACCCCGCAAGAAATTGGGTTTCAAGAAATTCGTACAGCTGAGGTAAGGCAAAGGCCTAGGCTAGCCTTGGTACTTAATTGTGTTTCTGTTCGAGGTGTAGTCAATTCATCGATACTGGATGGCATTGCCTGTGGAATTAGAGTTATGTAGGCCTAGGCCCTAGGCTAGGCCTAGTACGCACAATCATGAAAATAAATGGCAGTTGACTAGCTAGGCCTAGGCCTTCTACAGTTAGAACTAGGCCAAGCCTAGGCCTAGGCCTAAAGTAGTAGCAGGGAGGGAGGTGCTACTATGGCTTAGGATAAAAAGCTTGGGATACTTATCCCTTTAACCGTAAGTGTACGGTTAAAGGGATACTTATCCCTTTAACCGTAAGTGTAAGGCCTAGTCCTAGCTACCCTAGGGTCCAAATGTAATGTATGTAAGCTAGGTAGACTTAGGCCTAATGTGCCTAGGCCTAACCACAATTACAGGACTGGAAGGTCGTCCATTAAAAATATTATCACCAAGGAGTAAGGCCTAGGCCTGGGTACTTTTAGTTGTAAGTTACTTATTAATGAATGAAATTATCTTGAATTTTTATCATTTATTAATGTTTTATTTATTTTTTTTATTAAAGAAAACTATCACTACAAATACATAAATCACTATATAATTATTGTTTGTGTTCACTGTAATTGTGTTTCTTACTTTTCTTCAAAACAGCACACAGTCACTACAGGAAATTCTCACAACATACATGAATGAATGAATTCAGGGTGAACTATCCTATTTGGTGGTGATTATGAGGATTTCCATCTAACAGGAAAAACAGGAAATAGGCCTATATATATATAGGCCTACCCTGCACAAATAGAAACATAGAAATCTGTCCACACATTATAAAAATAAGGCCCAATTTGAACACTAATTTTTACTAAAATTGTGTTCCAATACCAACAATGGATTACACACATTTGCACTCCAGTAACAGACTTGCCAAGCTAATGGAAAAAATGCAGGACACTTACATAGGGGAAGTCCTCACTACCTCAGCCCCACCATGGTTGTGGCTTAGGTGAGAATATTTTAAGAATTTATGGCACCTCTATATGGCCGTAAATGCATAAACACTGTACAGGTGTACAATATTACTGTCTTAGGCAATTCATTTTATTTAGTAAATTTATTTTGTAGAACACACATAGCAAATTCCACATTTTACAAATGCGGCGGGAGCTTATTTCTACCTACAGTATCCCTCTGCATACTTTCAGGTTCTCTGAGTTCAGTTGTTAATGTTAGCTATTTTAAAAGTTTGAATTTCAATACATAAATAAAATAAAACTAATTTTTAATTAATAATACATTTGAAGTATTGGCCTATGCCATTATACAGATACTTTAATGTTAATAAAAATGTGATATTAATCACCATAATTTTTTATTGATTACATTCAAAATATGTAAATATATTCAATACTTTACTTACTAATGTTTTTCTAAATTTTTATAGCGTCTTTACTATGTTTTAAACATTTTTATGACATTTTTTGTAACCTTATACAGTTGTCATAATAAATATGCTGCTAATCATGAAAACATTCATATACTAAAGTTTTGGTATTAACATTCATTACAACATTTTTAATTTACTTATTTATTATTTGACATATACACTGTAGGTCTCCCTGTAATTAAAGACAATCTAATTAAAAACCACCTTCAATTAAAGATCCCGTTTCTATGGTTTCAAATTAACAATGTCTTTATTTTTATTCTAATTAGAGACCAAAGTTGCTAAACACCATGGAAACTCTGGTCCCAAACATGGTCTTTAATTGGAGGGAGACCTGCATTACAGTTCACACCTTGTAGTAGCAGGGAGGAAATTCCTCCGTTGTTGTAGTAGTAATTGAATGTAATTGTAAATGTTGTGTTAATTGGGTGACAAGTGATAATGTCAAACAAACTGCCAGGTACCTTGGGGCCTACTCTTCATTTATTGTGACAATCTCCACAGGGACAATATATACAAACAAATAATCGCTATCTTTTCCACTATAAAAAGTTGAGGTGTTGGTTATGATTCATATGAGAAATATTTCTACAAGTCATAATGACACAAGAAATAAAGTCCTTTAATTAACAGCAATGTCGGTGCAGATATTTGTGTCTAGGTTCCAAAAATCCATACCATTTGAAATATATATTATTGTGCATATTTACATTATAATATATTAATTAGTCATAAAAACAAACAAAAAACTAAAGGTTTACATTACATTTTTGGTTAACCTAACATTTTATCATTTTCGTTGTTGTAGTCCACATGAATCTTGAAATTTTAAAAAATCCTTATTTTACTTATAATATATTAATAATAATATAATTATCTTAAATTCTTGATGTCTAAAGATTATGATTTTATAAAAAGAAAGGTACTTTACTTTTATCCTTAATTTATTCTGTTAAACCCTTTGTGAACTAAAGTTCATACAGTCTTTTCAGCTCTATAGAACAATATGTTTCCATTGATTTTTAAGTATGATTTAATCAACTGTAAAATACATGATTATCAGTGAATTGTTTATGTTTATTCATAGTTCAATCATTCTAAACTCTAGGCCATGTATTCATTTATTGATCATCTGTATAATAGTGGCCGATCTACCCAGACTACCCATCACTGTTGGTTGTTTGAGATTATCACTACAAATATAAACAATATATGAAACGTACTGTAGTACTGCATACATGACTGCACTGTAAATTTTCCAATGTATAGACGCTTATAAACGTTTTAGGGCTTGGGTATTACCCTAATTTGTGAATAGTACAAATTTTGTAGTGCTAAAATAGCACCATGTATTATGTAGGCCTATCTGGCTTGTCGAATGCCAGCATTATTTATCTGATCAGTGAAAAATAAGTTAATTTATAGACTCGCGTTCTTTACAATTGTACCTTCATTGTACATATTTCAACAGTTTTCTCAAGAAACCATGCATGCAATGATCAAGTGTTGTCATCATTGGAGGAGGTGATCAAATATAATTAAATGTTGTTTCTATTCATTTTATTTATTTTTTGCAATTTATTATTTTAAAAATCTTCAATTGTTTAATGAAATTTAAAATTAATTTTGACATTCTGAAATACAGATAGGAGATGCTAAACATTTTGTTTACATGGCCTTTTTATCCATTAACTTTCCACCCTAGAAAAGAATTACCTGTACCTATGTGCAAATAGAGCTATCTGCCTGCATCTGTATTAGAAGCAGCTGAGATGAGCTTTTGTTTGGTTTAACCTTGTAATGAACATGAAGATTCATTGATTTGATGCTGCAGAGTTGGCCCCAACCCTTTGCCATGACCCTTGCCATTACACAGGGTTCAATGGCATCTTTTATTGGTATGCAAAAAGCTTTTTACAAGGCTATCTTGCAACATTTTGTATTGTGTTGTACAACATACTAGAGGAATTTACCCACAGTGCTACAGTACATGTAGTACTAGTCACTATTCAAAAGAATATCTTTTAATTAATAACAGCCATCAGCATTGGCAACTGTACCCATGTAAAGTATTATTAATTATTTATCTTTTACATATTTAACCAGTCCACTAATCAATTCATAAAATTAAAGTAATTTTGTTTTTATTTGATAATTATTGATTTTTTTTATATATTGATTTTTTTTTTATATATTACTCATCCTGTTAATTCACAACCTTTGTAGCTGTGTAGTTTAACTTTATTCTTTATTCTTTATTCTCAACCAACAGTGTAAAATACCAATAATAGGTTGAAATAAAACTTTCAGTAAACAGAGCATAAATATATACAATACAAATTAAAAAACGAGTTCATTAATAATACTTTAATTTAACATAGAGTAAATCAATATAAACAAAACACATACTATAATTATTATATTATTGTAATTGGCGTGTGGCATTGTCTTTTCCAAAGGATACAAATCACTGAAATATTGTAGTATGTCTAGTGGATTCAAAGAAGGACTGAGCAGGCCCAGGCCCCCCAAAAAATATTTAAATTATTAAAAAATGAAAAAAAGAGGAAAATGTTAATCAAAATTTAGGTCTGAGAGTGCCATTTCTGCATTTCCGGACATCTAGAGGTGCCATATTCAGAAATTTTCTTACTCAGCCCCCAACCATGGTGGGGCTGAGATAGTCTAGACTCTCCATATATGTGAAAGCTCTTCCTGGGCCTTCTCTATTTCATATTCATTGATCAGCAACTGATTGAACAGTAAGTAAACTGTGATTTGTAAACATGTATAAATATAATACTTTATTTTTATTACCAATTTTATTAATTTGTATTTTATTACTAAAAAATATTAGAATTCCATTCTAGGGTTACCTAAAGATAAACTTAAGATGCAAGTATTTTTTGTAGTAATAAGTACTATAGTTGTAAGGTGCAGAAGAAAAAGGTGACCAATTTTTTATGGCATGCAAACTTCACATTGTTACAGGTACATAAAGCGTATCATTGGTTCTTCTATACTAAAGTACAGGTATACCAGTTACTATTTTTAATTTTTTTTCTTCCCTGTTTTATTTACCTTTTCTTGGAATCCAGCAACAAAAACAAAGGTTGAAATATACGTACAGTACAGTAGGCCTACAATAAAAAGTTTATTAAAAAAAATTCTGTGTTAATGAATAACCAATTTTATGACCAAAGTTTCGTTTCGATGGCGCCATCATCAACCAAATAATAAAAACGTTGGAAGTCACAATTTTTACTTACCAGTTACTATTATTTTAGACTCAACGTCATGAACAAAGTAAACCAAAACAAAGAAATTGTTCCAAAAATTAAATATTTTCAATTTCATTCAGAAAACAAAAACAGGTTAAAATTAATCATTTTAAATAGGCCTACAATAAATATTACACTAGGTTGGTGAAATCGTTGTTTTAATTCTGCTTAAAATAGGCCTGCTTATTTTTATGAGCATTTTCTGGACAATATTCATTTTTTTTCTAGATTTTGGGTGGTGACACTAAACAAGTATATTTTTT